AATCAAAAATGAAAAACTGTAAGTACTTTTTCTAGATTGATAAATCAGTCTGTTAAAATATAACAAGAACATTAGAAACTTTCGAAGAACTTGGTTAGTAGTTTGCAAAGACTTTTAATGAAAAGGTTCTGTTTGAGTGAATATTTCACTTTATCCTATTCTATATACATCATTAAATTGAATATATCTTAGTCCCATATTTGACTGACTTTTGTTTTAATAAAAAACTAAATTAAAATATATTGATGATAAACAAGAGGCAAAAAGAAACCAGGAAACTATTTCGAATCACTAAAATAAAAACATTTTTTATGAATATAATGAGTAAAAAAATAGATGACCTAGTTCAAAAAAAAATTATTATATTTACTTACATTTATAGCTGTATATAAAAAATAAAAAATGATTAAGCATTTAACAAGAGAACATTTTAAAAAAAAAGGGAGAGAAAATAGACAAAAATTAAAGGTCAACAAAAACAAATATCAAATAAAACAATATTATATTCAAAAATAGAAGTAAAAATTTTATCACTTACAATTCAATTTAGATTCCAAATTCAGCTTGAATATATCCTTTAATGATTCAAAGAAAATGGTTTTTCTGGATTATTTTAAACTTCATAAAGATTAATATTTCTTATAATTCATCTAAATATTCCTCACGATTTATAAATTTGATAATTTAATATTCATCTTATATTATCACTGTCTGGAATACGATATATTATTCTCGTCTATCTATAGAATATATTTCAAACAAGAAAAGAACAGTTAATTAATCATCCGTTGTCTATTAAATTTATTTGGCCAATAGATATATACTTTGCTTAGCGTTAGCAAATTATAGGACTTGATGAATTCAAAATTAAACAACTTTCTTTTCTTTGATACTTTTTTCAGAAAATATGAGGAATATATATCAATACCATAACGCAGATAATTTTTATTTAAAATAGTTTCAAGCCTAATATCATTTCAATTTTCTCACCAACTTGCGATATTGTTCTTTTATTTGATTAAATTTAGGTAAAGCCTAATGATGAAAAATTGATTAACTTATTAATTGGGCATAGAACTTCTTTTAGGTTTCTTAAGCTGGATTGTTAGACAAATTGCTCAACTAGTGAGCGTATATCTGAGATGCTGGCTTTTTATTAAGTAATTTATAACACTCTCCAAGTGTTATCGAAAAACATCAAAGATATTTAATTATATATTATTTATTCTAAACTACTTAATTGAACTTATATTTATTTGATTATTTAATAATTATTATAATCCTATATAGACTCTTTTCTCACACTTGAATCAAGGAAAATATTCAACTCTTCTATGGCTTATAAAGAATATATAGATGCATATCTCTTAAAAAAAAACTAAATTGAATTATTTTTACTGGAATATTCAAAAGGTCCCAAACCTTAATCATAAAAATTAGAGATGTATGAAACAGAAGAAATAATAATTGAAAATTCAGAAACTGATGAGATATCACGAGCTCAATCACTTATATAGAAACCTCAATGCTATAAAGCCCTTAAAGCTAATGTAAAATTTAAATTACTAAAATGTTAGGGTATGTAGCTAAAGTGAAAATTTAAGATTTTCAGCCTATCATTCTTATCAACCAAACAGCAAGTCCCTAAATAATCATAGTACAAAATAAATACAATCAAAAATTTAACCGATAAATGTTTGAAACCCTCTTGGATATTTCTGTTTTTCAAGTTCTTGCCTTTTTTTCTCTTTAATTAATAAATTTTACATTTAAAAGTGTGAATTCTATAAAAATTTATATTATAATCGTCCCTACTTGATATATTGTCGTCAGAGTTTATTTATGTATATGGACAAATCATTGGTAAAAATTACTAGAATTAAATTATAAATTAAAATTTAGTTGAACTCTAATATTCCAATTGTGAAATTTATCTACTCATTTAAAATTTAATTTTTTTAAACTTCTAATTATATTATCACTTTAATTTAATTAAATAATGAAAAGAAATGGATTAATTTTTCATTTAAATTAAGAATAATTATCGTAATTCTTTTTGAGGATATCATTAGCAAGAAACTTTTGAATTTTTTGAGCATTTGAGCAAAGGAACAGCATCTATCCAAAATTATTCTCTTGAGAGAAAATAACTTTCTTTAAACTTTCAAATCAGATAACTATTAGTTTATATTTCCTTATTATCAAAAAATATATTAAATTAACATTTTAGCAAAATTAGAGATCTTAGAATTCATTTTGATTTTAATATTATATTGAAATTTAATACATAATAATTTGTATTTTCTAATAATGTTATGTTATTTTATCATGAATAAATCTAACTCACTATTGCTCCTGTAAAACCAGAAATTCCTGCAACAATCCCTATCAATAATGTAACTATAATGTTTGAATCAGACCACTTTTTGCCTTCTTTGAGTTCCAAGGTAATATATAATGTACATGGTAGTACAATTACCATAATCATACCAAAAATGCCTCCTAATAAACCAAAAATTGCTCTATTTTAAAAAAAATATCTATTACTTTACATTTGGATATATCATTGCAATAACTCCAGTTGTATATTATAAAAGAACTGTACTAATTACATAAGCCTTCCAACTCTTTTCCTTATCAATTAATTGTAAAACAGTTAATCTAGAAGGATTTAAGTTTATTGGAACGGCAAAAAACATTATAAAAGCAAATAAGGCTTTAGCCAATGTGAATGGAATATCGTCATAATTATCAATAATAATTTTTTCTGTGTTCTCAAAAAAGCTCAAATATCCAAAAATCATTAAAGTTAAATAAATTATTGCCTCTGAAAAGATGGCTCTATTAAATATTTTGGACATTCTCTTCAATGTTGATCTTTTTAATTCAGATCTTATAGGAAATATTAACTAGTGACAAATATAACCGAAAAATGTTGCAGCAAATGTACTTGTTAATTAAATGTTGAAATCAAAATAAACTATCTTATTTGAGTCAAAATCATTAGAAACATTAATCAAGAAATAGATGACGATAGTCACTAGAATATAAGCTATAATTAATATTTGTAAATGAGTGAAGTATCTTAAGGAGTATAAGTCTTTCATCATACTAACTGGGAAGTTTATAATCATGAAAATTGAACCACCAATATATCTAACTTGATCCTTATATGATTCATCAAAGTTGAACTTTATTAAAACTTGCCAAACCAATTATATGAATAAAATTTAATAACAAACAATTGCTCCGAAAGTATAACAAATCACATCCACAGAATAAAATTTTTACATACTTGGACCCAAAGCAAATTTGACTAATTCTGCATATGAATGTTAATCATATTTGAAAGCGCATTTCATTAGTATCTACATTGAAAATCTCGATAATAATGCGCAAATAACCATTAGTAAAATACAATTAATTAATCCAGATTAAACAGGATTTGCTTTAAATATTATGAAAATATAATTTACATGGAAAGGATAACATACCTGAACCCATTGCCGCACACATGAGTGCAATAACAGACTATCGAAGGGATCCTTTTTTCATTGGTCCGAAAGTCCTGACAAACCAAGTATAATGCAAGGTACTCTTCTCTAATTATCCCTCATCGCTTAAATTATCTGCTGATTAATTAACTCCATCTTCTTGCAATTTAGAGGACAAATCATCTTCAGATCTCTATATTTTCATTTTTTAAATTAATGATTCTATGAGAAATAATATATAAAATATTTTTCAACTATTGAAAACAAAGCTCATCTAAAGTTCTCTTTATAATTAAAAATTGAATATTTCATTAACCAACTATCCTTTAATTGTATAATTATATCTAAGATAAGGTTTGTTGATTTTAGATTATTTTTTGGTTTGATACATGTTTGTAAAATAATTGACAAAAAATTTACTTATAACAATTATTTATTGTTATTGTTACATGTTATGATTTTATTATTAAAATTTTATTGCAATTAATAACAAAAAAAGTTAGTAGCAATTAAACAACCATAAAAAAATAATTTGAAAATAATTATATAAGATCTCAAATTTCAACATTTACTATTACTTTTCATAATGATCTTAATTAAATATATTTCTTATTTTATTTATCAAGATGGCACCATATTTACCTGGTTCAATTTCTTCAGATATGAATTATTAACAAAAAGACTAAGTTGATTTATCAGAAAATTATAATCCCATAAAGAGATTTCAAAGTAAACTACATTAAAGTCTTACAAACTTTATTAAAGCTGATGTTGATAGCTTCTGCATAGTATAGGATCTTTCTAGTTGTTATTACTTGCGGAAGATATAATGAGTAACAATTTTTTAAGCAAGAAAACAGTTGAATCATATATTACATAATGAATTTATATATTTTTTTGATGTTTTGTCTTAAAAAGCCTAATCTACATTAGCATTATTATGAAAATAGAAATTGAATATTATGTAATTAATGAATTTTTTCCTAGCATTCAAGAGTAAAAATGCTCTTCTCTATAAATGAATTCAATTTTTTTCTGACTTTTTATTAGAACAAAAAGATTTATAGTAGGTAGTAAAATTAGGACATTCTTTTATTTTTCCCCCAAAAATTTATGATAAAATGTAAAATATGTCACTGTTTCTTCTTAATATATATTCCTTTTTTTATTGAGCTTACATACCAATATAAAATTGTTAATTATCGTTTATCCGAAATTTGGTTTAGTCAAAGTTTTGTTTAGTCATTATTTAATTAGGTAAATTAATCGAAAAAGAATGGGATCTTCCTCTTGGCCAAGGATATATAGAAATTTAGAAAAAAAAAAGTTTAAAAAATAAGAATAATAAGATTTAGTTTAATCCGATAATTTAAATTAGGTGGTCATAGCAGTATAGCTTTCAGTGTTGGGATTTTAAACGGGATAAGAAAAAGCAAAATTAGATGGTCTTACTAATGGAATCTTGTCTATCTGTTTCTCTCCTGATGCCATTTATCCATTTTTGAAATGGCAAAAATAATCATTCTATTGATTAAAGATATCAAAAGAAATTAATGTTTATGTTAGTCTGGTTATTATTATGATGAAATAAATCTACCATGCCTACCAATATGTGGAGATTAAATCATAGTTGATGAAGAAGATTGTGATGATGGTAATAATGATCCATTTGATGGACTTTATTAATGTTAATTTAAATGTTAAGATGAATGTTAAGTTTGTTTCAAAGATAAATGTTATCAATTCAAAGATAATTATAAATTAATTGAGGCAATTTACTCTTGCATATAAATTTGTAATGATTAGTAATAATTAAAAATGATTAATGCAATGATAGCAATGATAATAAATTTGATGGATGTCATTTTTGTTAATTTTAATATTGCTATAATTTTATCCATATTGTAGTTTAGGAAATTTTTATAAATGTGATGAAATAACATGGTTTGTATTTAACAGGAACTAAATGTGAATTTACATGTGTAGATCGAATAGTTTTTAAAGGATAAAATAAAGTGATATCCTTTTTCGATTTGTACAATTTTGAGAGTAAGATTGTTCAGAACATTGTTTATATGTTAAAATGAAGAATGTCTTAAATGAGAGAAAGGATTTAATACCAATAATGAAATACACTATGTATTAAAATTTTTGTGAAAATTTAATTTTATAGAATGATTAATTGAAGATTAGATAATTTATTATTGATAAATTTGTGATGATTGCTAGTTTAAGTGCCATCATAATTGTTAACTGTGTAATTATGGCTAATGTATTAAATGTTAATAATGGTTTTGAATAAGATTGTGGAGATAGATTATTTGTAGTTACTGAAGTTTGTGGCTCATTATTTTCATCGATCAATTATAATTTTTTTAACTTTAATTATCATTTTGGATATGGCTGTCTGATTTGCAATAAAGGGATCTGTGAAGTTTGCTAGCAATGACTAAGCTTTAATTTTACTTAATTTATTTAACAATAAAGAATTAACTTAAATTGATAAATTCATATTCGAAGATACTTTCAAAGAACTGGAAAACTTCATGTTGCTAAAGACTTAGATAATATCTATTTCACATTTGGTTCTTATTTAAAATTAGAATTAGATAGTAAAGGAAACTAAGAGAATGAATATGTTTAAACAGTTTGTAAAATTTAGCAATATTTTGATTTCATCATCTCGGATAAATTACTAGCTTTAATTCAGAAAAATGATGAGAGATTGGGAGTAATAGTTAAAAATTATAAAAATTTTATACAAAAAAATTAATATTATAATTTCACAATAGAATAAAGCCACTTATAATTCATAAATAAAACATATAATTCTCAATTTCAAAGAATATTTCCAAAATACAATTAAAATTATTAAAATTAAAAGGCTTAGTCTAAGGAAATAAGATTTATAGTTGGTATAACTTGAATAGAAAAAGATAAATGAATTCAAAATTTTTTAATAACTTAGATATATAATGAGACTATTAGAATCAATATTGTTATAAACAATTTAAGATATTAATGATTGGAGAAATGAACCAGATGAAAGCATAATGTTTTAGTAAGAGATAAAGTTAACAAAGGAGGAATTATAAAATTTAAATCTAGCAGATAAATAATTTTCTTTTGCCAATAAGTTTAAGTAAAAGCTACTTGCCTTCCCTAATGCAACTCTTAACAAAAATAGTTTTTTGAAAGAAGCTTAATGCATGTTAAAACTTATCGAACAAACTGAAAAATAAGTCTCAGAAATAGAAACTTTGTTACTAAAAAAGGATAACTTAATTCAATACTTTTAAAGTTTATTGAATAACCTAAATTTTTATTATGAAAAACAGATCCAAGAACTTCAAAAATACTTTAATAGATTACTTTAAAGTTTTAAGACAATACTGATGTTACAATATAAAATAGAGTCTGTTTCTTTACCTGAAAAATTAATCGAAATTAAATAACAATATTGTTATAAGCTTTCATATTAATTTATACAAAAATAAAGATTGAACATTTTATAGCAGAAATAACAATTAATTGCTTTTAAAGAATGATTTTTACAAATATTATTAATACCATTTGTAGAATTTTCATAGTTAAAAAAGTTTATCTCTTTGGATGAGTTTCTACTTGATGTANTTTTTTTAACTTTAATTATCATTTTGGATATGGCTGTCTGATTTGCAATAAAGGGATCTGTGAAGTTTGCTAGCAATGACTAAGCTTTAATTTTACTTAATTTATTTAACAATAAAGAATTAACTTAAATTGATAAATTCATATTCGAAGATACTTTCAAAGAACTGGAAAACTTCATGTTGCTAAAGACTTAGATAATATCTATTTCACATTTGGTTCTTATTTAAAATTAGAATTAGATAGTAAAGGAAACTAAGAGAATGAATATGTTTAAACAGTTTGTAAAATTTAGCAATATTTTGATTTCATCATCTCGGATAAATTACTAGCTTTAATTCAGAAAAATGATGAGAGATTGGGAGTAATAGTTAAAAATTATAAAAATTTTATACAAAAAAATTAATATTATAATTTCACAATAGAATAAAGCCACTTATAATTCATAAATAAAACATATAATTCTCAATTTCAAAGAATATTTCCAAAATACAATTAAAATTATTAAAATTAAAAGGCTTAGTCTAAGGAAATAAGATTTATAGTTGGTATAACTTGAATAGAAAAAGATAAATGAATTCAAAATTTTTTAATAACTTAGATATATAATGAGACTATTAGAATCAATATTGTTATAAACAATTTAAGATATTAATGATTGGAGAAATGAACCAGATGAAAGCATAATGTTTTAGTAAGAGATAAAGTTAACAAAGGAGGAATTATAAAATTTAAATCTAGCAGATAAATAATTTTCTTTTGCCAATAAGTTTAAGTAAAAGCTACTTGCCTTCCCTAATGCAACTCTTAACAAAAATAGTTTTTTGAAAGAAGCTTAATGCATGTTAAAACTTATCGAACAAACTGAAAAATAAGTCTCAGAAATAGAAACTTTGTTACTAAAAAAGGATAACTTAATTCAATACTTTTAAAGTTTATTGAATAACCTAAATTTTTATTATGAAAAACAGATCCAAGAACTTCAAAAATACTTTAATAGATTACTTTAAAGTTTTAAGACAATACTGATGTTACAATATAAAATAGAGTCTGTTTCTTTACCTGAAAAATTAATCGAAATTAAATAACAATATTGTTATAAGCTTTCATATTAATTTATACAAAAATAAAGATTGAACATTTTATAGCAGAAATAACAATTAATTGCTTTTAAAGAATGATTTTTACAAATATTATTAATACCATTTGTAGAATTTTCATAGTTAAAAAAGTTTATCTCTTTGGATGAGTTTCTACTTGATGTAGTGAAGAATTATCCAAAAAGAATGATTTTTTGTGACAGTTCATTTTTTAAATAAACTATTGCTGAATTAAGTGCCTTATAAATTACTGAATAACATTATTAAAATAATAAAAAGGAATTTTAGATTATCTTATTTTTAAATTAACTTTAGAAGAATATATGGTTGAATTGGAAAGAATGGATTTGGAATTAATTGAGAAGGAATTTGGAGAATTATTTATAGAAGAAACAGGTCCTTTAACTCTTGCAGAAAGAATTATGAAAATTATAAAAGATTTTTAAATAGACTTTTCATTGAACATTATCAATAATAAAAACCTTTCTCAACATTAATTGAATATTGAGAGAGAAAAGTATGAGATATTATAGTCAGAATTAAGAAAAATTAAATACTCTGAAAATTGTGAAGAGGTAGAATAACTTAAATTAATAATCAGCCAGATCTAAATTATTGTAAAATTATTGAAAGCTTCAAGTAACCAAGATCTATAATTTTTTCAAATGCCTCTAATTGAAACAGTAAAAGATTTAAAAGAAAAATTTTATGAATTTAAAACAAAATATGATGATCAGAACAATAGAGATGGGGATCTCAATAAATTAAATAATGAAAATGTAGAGGATGAAAATAATGCCCAAAATAAAATTAGAACAAAGTTATCAATCATTATTAATATTCTATAATTTTTATTAATTAAAATTAGATAAGAGAAGCAAAAATGGGCCTAATTAGTTGAAAATGTTAAACTTTTTACTAAAAGCCTTGATGTTTCCTAATAATATTACCTGTAAATGTATACAAATTTTTAAAGTTTTTTTTCAAAACATATAGAAAACATTAAGGAATCTTTATGCACAAATGCTAATTTAGAATAATAGGAAAAAGAATCAATTAAAGAATACTTTTCAAGAATTTAAATCGATACATTGTAGAGTGAAAAATAATCAGACAACAATAATAGTTAATCAACAAATATAGTTGATTTTCTCTATAAGTTAATGGCTGAAGCAAAAGAAACTTTAAAAATATCGAATTGGGAATTCTATAAAATTTAATTTAATCAAGATTATCTAGTTTAATCAACTAAAAAAATATACCTAAAAGAAAACGATGAGGAATATGAAGTCAAATCAAATCAATAGTATTAATTCTCTATTGATTAATGAAAAAATTTTTAATGGAAAATTAAATAGGGTTTAGTATTAACTATAATTTAAATTTCGTTAAATAGCTTCACAGAAACGATTACTCGATTTTGTTAAAAAACTCTCATTTAATTATGGGTTTTAGAAAAAGATTAAAGAGTTAGAAATTTATTGAAAAATTAACACTTAATAAGTTTATAGATGTAAATTTTGTAGAAAGATTGGTAGACTTAACATGATAGGAGGGATGTAAAAAATGTTGAAGAGAATTGATGAATTGTAAGAATAAATTACTCAGGAGGCAAATCTAAACAAAAGAGAGCTATAATTGAAAGAAATGGATGAAACAACTCAGCAATTAGATGAATACATATAAAATATCAGCGAAATAGGTTAATAACTCAGGTTGGTAACTGATTTTGTAAATCATATCAGAAAAAGTTTGTTAAGAGTTGAAGGAAAAATAAATCAAATAAAAGAGTAGCTCAACAACATGGGTAATGATCTTAAATTTTTGAGAGGAAAATCAGTAATATAATTGCTTGAAATTAGAAAATGGAAAGTGTTGAAGGAAGCAGCAGAAAAAAATGTTAAGTCCATCTATGTACCATCAAAAACTTAAGGGAAAGGTAAAAATGAGATTAGTAATTTGATGATTTTAGATTAATTTGGCGATTAAAATGGAGAAGTGAATGAGTTTTTATATGAAGGGAAAACAGTATTACTAATTCATGGATTAGCTGGAATCGGCAAAAGTACTACAGCCATAAAAATTGAAGAGTTTATTTGGAAATTACATGATAGTAATTAAAAAATTGGGAATTATGTACTAATACCTGTTTATATTTCATTACCCTCTTTAAAAACCCTATTTTTTAAGCAGTAGAGGAATCACTTAAATAAGATGATTATGGATTTGATGATCTCTAATTGAAAGAATGTAAAGAAATGTTGTAAAAGAAAGAATTCCGATTCATATTTATGATGGACAGTTATGATGAAATGAAGCTAGAGAATATTTAGAAAAATTTATACATTAATAATAAGTTCAAATAAAATTGGTCAGACCCTCTTATTATTTTTACCACTAGAAGTGACATTTTTACTAGCAGCAATTATGCCGACTGGTTTGCGCCTGAAGAAAAATAGAAATTTAAAGAAATCTAGCTTCTTCAATTTGAATAGAGTTAAAAATAAGAATATCTTAAGAAATTTACAATTTAAAGAATAAAAATGTTAATTTTTGATATTCATGAATGGTAAGTATAAACTTAAAACCAAAAAGCTCTGGATTTTAAAAAGTTTGAATAGAGTTGGGAAAAGATTTAGACATCATTTTTGAAATTCGATGAAGCAAGGTGGAAATCTGAGACTCTTTTGAATGAAAAATAAATAATTAGTATTTTATAATTTTTCAAGGATGATGAGTTAATTGCTTTAAAAAGCAATGAAGTATAAGAAGCTTGAGCATAAATTTACAAAAATTACGGTGTTTTAAACAGTATGAGGATACGATGACGTCGGTAAATCTAAATAAATTAGTGGAAACTCCATATATGATGGAAATTATAGTGTAAGTGTTGCCCAACATGATTCTTAAAGCAACTGAGATTATTAACATTAAATAAACCTTCTTGAAAAATTTTTCAAAGATGTTGAAAAGAATTCAAATGTATAAATCACAACAGAAAAGGCATCTGTAGGAGTCAATAAATGAAGTTAATAAAGAATCTGAAGCAGAAATTTAAGTTGATTATGATGAATTCTTGAAAGTTACTCATAACGATTTATAAAATTTGGAAACTATTGATTACCATTAAATTGCAATTGGAGTTTGGAATATTTGGAAGAAAATTCAATCCCTTAATAATTGTAAATCTCTTAAGAACCTGTAGAAGTGCATAAATAACTTGAAAATATATTTGAAACAAATCTTTTGCTACTAAATTAGATATTAAAGTAAATAAAAATTAAATAGGAAGAAATAATCTAATTTACCAATGATGCATTAAAAGAATACAATCTTACGATTTATGACTTTTATAGTGAGTTTATCAATTATTACAATTTGAAATAAATAGAAAAACAGAGAAACTTAGGAAAATTTATAGATACTGATCGTTTTCTGCATGATCTATTAGAATACTCAATTAGATTGGCAAAGAAAATGAGTAAGAATGAGATGACATAAGTTTAATGTAAGTAGAAAGGATTTTGATATTAAAACGAAAGAAAAGAAAAGAAAAGAAGAACAATGGCTAAACGAATTTTTTAATTATGATGACTAATATGGAGCTTATAAAAAAGATATAAGAAGTTGTTCACTTGTCTAATAAAAAGGTGCTAACTTTTAATTTACCCATAAATCAATATACGAGTTCTTGATTGCAGCTGATATATATGAAGTTTAAGTTCAATCAAAAAATTTAGATACATATATATTGAATATTATAAACGAATCTTTGTCAAAAGAAGAGAATCAAAATTAGAATTGTATTGAGTTTCTAACAAATCTTAAGTAAAACTATGAATAGAATTATAGAAAAATTGGAAATTTATCTCTTGTGTAAAAATAGAAATAATTGGATGCTTTTGAATAGACTATTTATTCAATTACTCGTTTAATTACAACCATAAAAGAACATGATATTAATTCTATTAATTATTCCACCGAAATCTATGCAGAAACAAGATTATATCTAATTAAAAAAATATATCAAGAGGTTAGGATAATAGAATTTTTGAAATTCTTAGTTCATCTGACTAAGATAGATAATAAATTTATAATAAGTGGGTCTAATGCACTTAATATATTGGTTGAAACGAAAGTGGATCTAACGAATTAAAATTTTGAAAATATAAGAATTAAAAATACTAATTTATTTGGGGGTAATTTTGCTAAATGCAATTTATCTAAATCTTAATTTAAGAATGTGAATATAAATGGAATTAATTCAAATGGAGCTTAATTAATTGGATGTAACTGGCAGTAATTAAAAATAAACGATTTGGATTAATTGGATGGTCATAATAGCACTGTCTACTCAATCTGTTTCTATCCAGATGGAAACACATTAGCTTCTGGTAGTGGTGATTGTTCTATCCGTCTATGGGATGTCAAAACAGGATAATAAAAAGCCAAATTAGATGGTCATAGTAATACTGTCTATTCAGTCTGTTTTTCTCCTGATGGAAATACATTAGCTTCTGGTAGTGGTGATAACTCTATCCGTCTATGGGATGTCAAAACAGGATAATAAAAAGCCAAATTAGATGGTCATAGTAATACTGTCTATTCAGTCTGTTTCTCTCCTGATGGAAATACATTAGCTTCTGGTAGT